AAAAGACGGGTGTAAACATAAGACTGATAAACATAAAATAAGACCAATATACATAAAAATACATACTGAGCTCAAAGCAATGTGACAGCTGCCAGAAAGCTAAGGTCCCTGTGCAGGGGCTCTGGGAAGAGCCCTGTTGCAAAGGCAGCCAAAAGACATTTCCACTGACTTTGTCTCCAAGCTCATCCGGCAGAGAATGGCATCCACCAAGTGTGAAGAGCGGCTGGAGCTTGGGTTTGTAAGACAGAGATCAGAACAGGAACCCCGAAAGGTAAATCAGCCCCACATTGAGAAAGGTCCTGTTGCCAAGGTAGAAAGGCTTGTATTTTAGATGTGCTGAGATAAGAGGATATTCCCACAATGGAACGACTGTTGCATTTACCATGATCATTCGTGGTGTCCTTTATTTTCCTCTATTCCTAGTGTTCTCTTCCCTGGAGGATGGCGCGCTACAGAAAGGAATCCTTCCCAATCTCCATGATCTAAGAGGAAGCGACAGCTATTGGTCATCACACAGACCTCCTAATTAATCAAGACCAAAATACAGAGTTCTATCCTGTGAGTACAGGCAGTAAGCCCCAGCCAACATTTCCCAATTAGAAATTAGTACAAGAAAAAAGAATATATTTCTGATTTTAACCCCGGTTACTTTAAAATAATAATACATTATTTAGTAGGGCATTTTAATTAACTAGAGTCTACAGTGGGAAAACCGATACAGGTTCTTTTCAAATATATTTTTCTGGGGCCAGAGATTTAGCTCAGTGGTGCCGCCACCTGCCTTGCAAGTGCAAGGTCCCGAGTTCAATTCCTGGTACCAAAAAAAAGAAAAATTTCTTTCCACTGATTAGATTGACTGCAAGGTTGTGATTTCCTCTCAGAGTTATAATTTTCAAATGTTTTTGAATCTTGAACTCATGCCCTTTGCATGACAGTGTCAAGACAGACAGCCCTCTAAGAATTTTTAGCACAAGTATTGAAATGTAAAGAGAATCACTAAACCCAAACCCACCTCAGGCAGTGAATCATAAATCCCAAGAGACCCTTTTAATTCACCTATAAATGTTCTTCTGGCTTTTACTTTTTGTTTCCACTAGCAGCTACCTAGGAAGTAGTAATAAATTTATTTCAGATTATGAAATTTTTAACTTTGTCAAATTGATGGGAATTTTCCCTGTAACAGTCTAGAAACAACTTTGTATACTTTTGAAAATGAAATCAACACCACAATTAAAGCCAAACAAAGTGGAACTCACTGTATTTTATAACGGAAGTAAAATTCAAAGAAGAGTCTAAAAAAGTTCCATCCCAAGACCCTATCCATCTCTACTGCTCCAGCAAGCCTAGCTAATCAGATTGCTGGTTTGGAACCCACATTACAGAATTTTATTTCCAAAGTTCCAGTATCTTTAGTCTTCACACAATGGAGGACTTTGTAACTAAATAACACAGACTCCATGTCTCAGAAGATAAGACTTCCATGGCTTCCCTGCCCCTGCTGTGGCGCATCGCCATGAGAGTTTCCCAAGAGACTAAAAGATTGTAACTCAGAATTTATATTTAGCTCTTATTAGAAATTACAGATGAAGGCTGGGGTATAACTCAGTGGTAGAGTGTGTGCTTTGCATACACAAGGCCCCAGGTTTGATCCCCGGCCTAGAAGGGAAGGAGGGGCGCAACAAGTGAAATACAGGTTTAGAAAGTAGTATAACTCATCTAAAACTGAGATGTAAGACAGGTGAACACGAGTAGCAGAAAATCAAAGATCACAGCTCCAGGGCTAGATAATCAGTGTGGTCCTGGGACGCCTCTTGTTCCCATCAGTTATATAAAGTGACTTTTCAGTGTGTGCACAGGGAGACATGGTTCATACACACACATGCACACACAAACATGCACTTTAAACCTGAACACACCTTGCGGCTCTACCATGTACACACCTGCTTTAGGAGCACAGCAAGCCTTGCAAGATTGCCAATCAGAACAACCATTTTCATGGTGGTGGCACAAACAAATTAATGTCATTTAATGAGCTGTCATATTGTTTTTAAAAGTAGACACAAGCAGTCAATCCACAGAATCAAAATCTGTGGGTTATTATTTTCCTTATTTCTATTGACTTGCATCTTTAATTACTGATTGACCAAATTTTCTCTTTGGTTCCTTATTTCATCCAAAGGATATTTTCCTGAAATAAGTATTTATCCCACAGGCCTGTGGAAGTGGTGCAAGTCCTGATTTAGTAACCTAAGGTTATCCTTGTTTTGTGAGGCATAAAATTCCTCCTCAGTAAATAAACACTAATGAAATGTTTGCGTGAAAACAGCACCCACAGTGGTAAAGAAGGCATCAGTGCCCTCTGTAAATACCCATTTGAGCGCCATATAAAAGTGACAGAAGGGAAGGAGGCATTTGGAGTTGAGGCCATTGGAGCTTTGCAGCCTGCCTGGTCCCTACCTGCAAGACCATGACTTCCGGTGGTTCCCCGGTATGCAGCCCTTCCGAGTCCTGTGCCGGAGACCCAGGCTGTGATGCCGCTCGCCTCCCCAGTGCTGGCCCGGTGCCTGGGTGTCAGGCACCGAGCTTCCTCCCCAGGGCTCACCTGCCCCTGGGGTGCCTGGCACCGTGCTACCTGTCTGGCAGCTGTGATGGTCCCTGCCTGGTAGAGAGTGGAGTTTGGTGTGAAGATGGGGCATTCAACTGCCATGAGAAGGAGACGATGCAGTTCCTGAATGACAGACTGGCCAGCTACCTGGAGAAGGTGCGCTCCCTGGAGGAGACCAACGCAGAGCTGGAAAGCAAGATTCAAGGACAGTGGGAGCTGGATGCCCTGTTCGTGTGCCCGGATTGCCAGCGTTACTTCCACACCATCGAAGAGCTCCAACAAAAGGTTCAGTGTCTCGCTGCCCTGTCTCAGGTTTGCTTTATGCCATCCTGCCAGAGGCTGTTTGATGGAAATAAGCCAAAGGAGAGGAGAATGTCAAGAGCTAGCATGCTATGGAGGAGCCCAGTGCTGCCGCTGATTATCGAGTGACCACAAAAAAGTCACTTATCTGTAGACTTTACCTTTATCATCTATAGAGTAGGAAAACTGTATTATATCTAAAATCACTCCTGTGTGTAACACTGTACATCGCAGCTGTATATGAGACTGCGTGTTTCTGTACTTCACACAGATACTGAACTGTCATCTTTTAAACTTTACCTCCTATTTCTTTCCTTCTCTTACTGATGAATTTCTATGGATGGGGGAAACTGTAGCAGTGTTCAACTTCCTGGGAATGTTGCGAAACATCTTGGGTCATGTCAAAAGCGAACCTCTTTATTCCTATTCATTGTCTCTAAACTGGCATGGCTCTTTTCCTCCTGAAGCGACACATTAATTGGAAGAGCAGGCTGACAGCGACTTTATACTTTCTTACAAGCACTTTCACAAGGCAACAAATGGCATTGCTGTTAAAGGAGCAGATAAGCAGGCTTCTTTCTAAGGAGAATCTATTTACGGAATAATTCACTTCTCAGATCTTGTGCACGAAGGCAGAGAACTCCAGGCTTGCTGTGCAACTTGACAACTGCAAACTGGCCGCCGCCGACTTTCGGTCAAAGTAAGTGGAACTGTAATTAGGAAATAATCCATGCATCTCTCACACTCTTGTCCTTGTTCTCCCCCACCCCCAGTATTTGCTACCTAATATTTTTAAGCTGAGCATGCTTTCAAAGCTTGAGCCTAGCATTATTCGGGGTGCATGTAGAGGAACTATGGCCCCTCTGGAGTCTGTGTGTCCCTCACTAGCATCCCCCCAGCATTCTGCCCAGCAGAGTAGCACTGCATGCATCTCTCTCGCTGCAAAAGGTACGACAGTGAGCTGTCCCTGCGGCAGCTGGTGGAGAACGACATCAGCGGCCTGCGGGGCATCCTGGGGGAGCTGAGCCTGTGCAGGTCCGGCCTGGAGGCCCACGTGGAGTCGCTGAAGGAGGAGCTGCTGTGCCTCAAGAAAAGCCACCAAGAGGTGAGGATAGCGCCCAAGGATGCTCAGAGGGACAAAGAGGAGCTGATGGATTTTACACATTGTGCGTGTAAACTGAATGTGGGTATTGCAGCTAATGCTGGACCAAAACTCCTTGAGGTGCTCTTGCCCCACAGCCTGCCCATCCCAGGGAGCTGCTGAGTGGGGATGTGATGTTCCTCTCGAGTCACTGAGTGCAGCATGACCCCGGGGAAGGAGCCCCATGCTCCACCTATAGTTAAGGCCACCCCTGACACTGACCCACAAGCTACAAAACTCAACCCAATCAACACAGACAGTGAAATCCATCCCAGAAAAGAGAGAGAGGTTTGGGCAGTATTTGAATCCATGTTGTTAAATATTCTGCATTTGTAAATGTCTCTAAATTAGAAAATATTAAGTGAATGCTTATTCCATATCAACAAAGGCTGAACGATGTAGCAATGTTTTCCCTTTGAATATTGTTTGATGATAAGAACAGCCAACCCTTACTGACACCTTGCTACCCGCTGGGACTTTTATAAGTTCTTTGTGTGCATATTACATCTCTTGTATCTTACAATAACTCCCAGAAGAGGCATAATTATTGCATCCATTTTGCAGATGAAGATACTGAGGCAAGTACAAGTGGTAAAAAGAGTCAGGCCAGGCCATGTGAATCAAAAGCCCCACACTGTTACCCACTATGCCCAGTACTAAACAAGTTGCTACTGGTTACCCAAGTGACATTTTTATCCCCTCGCTCTGTGCATGCTTCCCTCCATTTCCACCTCCAGGAGGTCAGCGTGCTTCGGGGACAGCTTGGAGACCGACTCAGCGTGGAGCTGGACACGGCCCCCACCGTGGACCTCAATGGGGCCCTGGAGGAGATGCGGTGCCGGTACGAAACGGTGCTCGCCAACAACCGCAGGGAGGCGGAAAAGTGGTTCTCGGCCCAGGTCAGACCCCGAGCGGGCCTGGGGCAGGCTTGGGGTTCGGGGCTCGGGCCTCCCGGGGTTCTCTGACTGGCCTGTGTTGCAGGCGGAGGAGCTGAACCAGCAGCAGCTGTCCAGCGTGGAGCAGCTGCAGGGCTGCCAGACGGAGATCCTGGAGCTGAAGCGTTCGGCCAACACTCTGGAGATCGAGCTGCAGGCACAGCAGAACCTGGTGCGGGTATTTCCCACTTGCAGGGACGATACTGACTGGGCTTTCTCTAAGAACCAGTGTTGTCCCAGGTGGAGGCCAGAGGGACAAGTCCACAGCTTGCAGGGCCCACAGGGTGCAGCCTTCCCCTGGGCCTGAGCCTGAGCCTACAACACCGTCCAGAGACAGGAAGAGGGGTGGAGCGGAGCAACAGAAGGCTGTCTGAGCCAAGGCACTCAGGCGTGACAGTGGGTTTAAATACCTTCATGGAGAACAGTTGCCCAGGTTCTCCACCATATCTACAGCAAACAGTAGTTTTCCAATTTTTTACCCTACAAGGATGGTAAAGTCTCTCGGGACCGCACCTCCGCCAGCCCCACCACACCCAGCCCACTCAAGCTAAGGACACCAAGCACCAGCCTGCGCTCCAGAAGGCCTCAGGAGAAGGCCCAGGAGGCCACAACTGGGCCTCCCTCCTGCGAGGGCCACAGCACAGCCCACACCTGGCCATAGTCTCCCCAGGGAGTCACCTCTGCACCCCACTGCACAGATGAGGGACACTGGGGCTCAGACTGAGGATCTGAGATCTTCAATCCTAAGAGGCAAAGCAGAAGCTGAGTCCCACTGGTTCGACCGCTGAGCCCATCTCTTTGTAACGGCTCTCTACTGCCCCTTCCCGGCAGGGGCCGGGCCTCAAACGCTCCTCCCAGATGCTGTCAGTCCTGTTGAAGCTGTAGAAATAAGTCACAAGCAACAGTAGTCACGGTGGTGGAAGAATAGCTGGCACTTTGACAGCACTTAGAATTTTTCCAGGAAAAGTTCTAAGCCTGCTACACATATTAGTTCTTTAATCCTCACAGTCCTCTGATGACCTAGGTCCTTTGCATTCCTCATTTTATATAGAATAGAAGTGAGGCTCAGAGGAGCTAAGTGAGGACCCAAGAGAAAGCGCCCAGGGTCCTTCTGACAGTGTCTTCCTCCCCACAGACTGAGTCTCTGGAATGCACTGTGGCTGAAACCGAGGCCCAGTACAGCACCCAGCTGGCCCAGATGCAAGGCCTGATCGACAACGTGGAGACACAGCTGGCTGAGATTCGCTGCGACCTGGAGCGGCAGAACCAGGAGTATCAGGTGCTGCTGGACACCAAGGCCCAGCTGGAGTCGGAGATCAGCACGTACCAGGGCCTGCTGGACAGCGAGGACAGCAGGTGAGTGCCTCAGTTCCTCAGGAAATTCTCTGGAGTCTCAAAGAGGCTGATGTAGGCAGACCCCAAGGTCTAACCGAGGGCTAGATATGTTGAGGATTCTTCTTCAAGATAGAAGGAGGGGAGGAGGAAGAGGAAGGAGAGAAAAGTGGAAAGTGGCCAAGGCGAAGCATGTGACAATGAACATCCATAAGATGATATTTGCAAAATGAATCAAATATAGCAAAATGTTATTCAAAGGCCACTGCTCCTGTGACTGTGAAGTATCTCTGTAGGTCCAGAGATGAAATAAGCTTAAGCCAAATGCTGTTCTGCAAAGAGTTTTCTACAGAACATAATTTGTAGGGCAAAATGTAAGGTTTCTAAGATGAGATCTTGTAAAATCGATCCCTCCCCCCGCAGGCTCACCAGTAACCCATGTTCTATAATGCCTGCGTCGAGCAGCACTTGTGAGCCCGTCTCAGCCTTTGTCCTCTGTACTGTGGAAAACTGCTGTGCGTGAAAGTTAAACTCCCAGCCTGGTGGATGAAAGAATCAAAGCCTAGGAAGGAGACAGCGCTGCATCCCAGGACAGCAAACCAGAATCACAAGTCCTGAGCATCTCATGTCCTAAAATTCTCCTCTCACAACCCTGGCGTAATGATACTTTCCTCCCCTTTGGCTCATTTGTGGCAGTCTGGGAGCTCGTAAAGCTTTCTTGCTAATCTCCAAATAAAATGTGCTTCATTCCTTTAGGATGGTAAATATAGATTTGTGGCTCATTGTCATTGATGTAACAATAGCCCTTTAATGGCAGAAGAATTGCCCAAACCCATGAATGTAGATTAAATTTGCATAAACTCAGGCTGAAAATATTTTCTAAGAGCTCAAATACAAATAAATCAATCCATGCAAAATGTTGTATATCATAGAAGATAGCTGCATGTACATTTCTCAGAGGAAATTTAGGAATAAAATATACTGAATTATATTCCTTTTTAATTATAAAAGTTTCAGGTTCTCTCCTTTTTAAAAAAAAAAAAGGCATTTTAAGGGAGGGAAACACTCATAATTCCATCCTCTAAACACCCATTGCTAATACTTTGGGGAATTTCCAGTTTTAATTTTTATAATTGGCTTTCTATATGGTCATCATCAGACTCAGACATGAATACCCTTGTGCAATCTTTTCTACTTATGCCATGCAAGCCTTTTCAATCTTAATAAAAATGTAAGCTTGCATTGTGGCCACAACTTCAGTGGTTGCACAATAGGCCATAAGGTACATTTGGTCTGTTACTGGCCATTTAATTTGTAAGAACAATTAATCTCATATTTAAAAAGCAAAGCAGGTCCGGGGATTTAACTCAGAGGTTCCACCGCTTGCCTCACAAGCATAAGGACCCAAGTTAGATCCCCAGTACCAAAATAAATAAATAAATAAATAGCAAAGCAGAGAAACTTCCACTCCCAGAAAGATGTGCATTTCCTTATTCCTCCTCCTAAGTATCGATGAAAATTCTGGAAATCACATATAAAAGAAATATAAAAGAACTGAGAAGTGGAAAGGGAAGCCAAACCAGCTGGAGAACTTGAGACCCCAGGAATGACACTGTGGCGAGATCCATGGGTCGTCCTTTAGCTCTTCTATCCCAGAATGGGAGCTGGAAAACCCAACAACACAAGACACTGAAGATGCACACACAGAAAATCCCCAACAGACTTATTCTCTAGTTACAAAGCAGAAAGGGGGCTGCCCAGCATGATAGAAAACCCTCCAATTACAATCACTCAGACCAGCCAAATGCCACAGAAAAGCATTGCTTTGCCCACTGGTATCCCCACAAGGAGGGACCAGGTGGGGAGTCTAGAGTTCACCCTCACCGGGCTGTAACAAGGCACACAACTCCCGCTCTGAGTGGAGTCACAGAAGGCTGGGGGGGGGGGGCGGTTTCCTTCGTACCAGGAGAGAGACCCACTTCCTCCCCCGGGTGGGTGGAGGCTATCTGGGGAGCTCGACTCGCCTGGCAACCGTGACGCTCTCCTCCTTGACTCTTCCGGGGTGGCTTCCAAGTGCCACAACTGGACAGTCAGTAATTCGGGGGGCCACCCCCTGCAGTGTCCCGGAAGGCCCATCAGACACAATAATCAGACACCTTGTCTCGGTCAGAGGTGGCATCAGAGGAGCCTGCAGCCCCAGCCATCCTGACACCGATGAGGGGCGGAGCTTGGGCGTCCACAGAGAGGAAGAGTCTGAGAACCCAGACTTCACTCCCTCCTGGCAGCACCAGGAGCCATCTGCCCTCCCCGGTACACACAGCCTCGGGAGGACCCCACAGCTCCAAACGTAACACTCCAACGACCAGGTTTCTACCACAACTCATTCTTCATCCGGGAACCCGCACGATCTCAAGCGACAACAGACCATCAACAGATTCCAACACCAAGATGGCAAAGATGTTACAATTATCTGACAGGGATGTAAGAGAGCTATCATAAGAATGCTTCAACAAGTGATTTCGATAAACTCCTTAACAAATGAAAAACTAAAAAATTCTCAGCAAAAAATGGATGACCTAAAGAGCCCAGTGAAAATTCTAGAACTGAAAAGTACCACAAAGCCAAAAGATAAACCTCAGTGGATAGACTCAATAGCCAGGGGCCATGCCAAAGGGAGAAACATCGGTAGTGTTGATGACAGAATAATAGATATCACCCAGTTTGGAAAAGAAAAAAACCACAGAATAGTCTGAAGAAAAGGAAGAATCTCAGGGGCCTTTGGGACCGCATCAAAGATCTAACATATATGTCATCAGAGCCTGCAGGGAAGAGATACACAGTGAAGCTCAAAATATATCTGAAGAAATAGAGTAAATTTTTTCTAAAGTTAGTAAAAAGACAGAAACTTACCAATTCAAGAAGCTAAGCCAACCCCCCAGAAGACTAAAGCCAATGAACTCCACAGCAAGACCCATCATGACAAACTTCTGAAAACTAAAGAAAAAAAAAGAATCATAGAAGTAGTGAGAGAAATGACACCTTACCAACAATGTACATGATGACATGTTTGGCACCATAAACTATGGAAAATAAAATTTTTTAAATTGCCAACCCATTTGTCTATATACAGGACATATTTATCCTTCAGAAATGAAAAAGAAATCAAGATATTCTCAGATAAATGAAAGTTAAAAGGAACTGTCAGCAACACAAACTAAATGATAATGAATCTTGGAACATCAGGAAATGAAAAACTAACAAAAAAGGAAAATATGAATAACATCATAAAGATTTCCTTCTCTTTCTGAGTTTTCTAAATTATGCTTCACGGTTGAGATAAAAAGTAGAACATTGTCTCATATGTACATAAACAAAATATGTCAGATAACTATATTAAATGGGGAAGGAATAAAGGGAGATGAGGTGTCTATACGTCACTGAAACTGATAAAAAATAACAGCACACTACAAGAAGTTATGTATGCATTATACATAACTTTAAGCCTGTATTAAATATTATTATTATGCTCAGAAGACAGAAATAGAAAAACTTTAAAAGCTATGCAAAGAGATTACTCAAAAATACTACAAATAACTGGAATTCCAGAACATTTTCAAATAACCCACAGAAAGGCAGGAAAAAGAAAACAGGGAAACAAAAAACAGAAGAAACAGAAAACAAAAACTGAAATGCAGTAATCCCTAAATATCAATAACTACAGCAAATAAAAATAGCCTTAATACATGAATTAAAAGAGGCTGGAAGAGTGGGTTAAAAAAAAATCATGATCCAACTCCATGATGGCTTGTATAAGAAACTACTTCAAATATAATGGTACATGCGTGGTTGAAAGCAAAGAGATAGGAAACTACACCATTGTTCACAGCAGCCCCAAACTGGAAACAACCAGCCAAGTGCCCCCAGGATCTCAATGCCGTTACGCTGAGTCGAAAACCGCAATCTCAAAATTACAGGGATGGAGAATAAATTAGGCGCAAGACAAGGGAGATCTTTGCGGTGACGGAGTAGTTCCATATCTTGATGGCCAGGACGGCTACTTGAAGCTACACATGTGAAAAAATATTACATAGAACTAAACACAAACATTGTTCCAGTGTCAGTTTCCTGATTTTGCAAGCGTACTATGGTTGACCAAGATGAAGCTGTTTGTTGGGAAAGACCAGGGTATGCAGAGCCTGCTGTGCCTTTTTTACAACTTCCCGTGAATTTATAATTATTTCAAAATGAAAAAGGTTTTAAAAAGCAGTGGAAAGCTAGAGAAAAGTTCTCTTCATTTTTCTATTTCTGTCTTCTGTGCATAATAATAACATTTAATACAGGTTTAAAGTAAACTGTCAGGCCTAAAATTTTAGACTAGTCATTTTTATGTAATACTCACCTGATTTAACAATAAAAAGCTGTGAAAATACTTGAATTGTTTTCCAGGTGAATAAATCCATGAAAGATTTTCAAACATTGTTACTTTTCAGACAACAAAATTGGAAGAAAGAAGGGCTGGGGATTTAGCTCAGTGGTTTCACCACCTGCTGCACAAGCGCAAGGACCGGAGTTCGATCTCCAGTACCAAAAAAAAAATTGGAAGAAAGGTAACAGTGTAGTGCTACAAAACCACAAATCCCAGCCACTAGGAAGTGTCTACCAGATGAAGCTTGCAGGTTCTGTGTTCTCTGCCATTGCCACTGGTTTCCCTTTTGCTTGAAGATTGTAGCAAACAGACCCTCTTGTTTAACAGTTTTCTCAGCATCTGTAACGAAATCTCCAAATAACTATATCCAAGTCTTCCATCAAAAAGATACCCAGGGCCACCTTCCAGGAGGTATGAAAGTTTGCATGGCCAGCTAATCTATTTGTATCTGCGAAGTTAGAAGTCTTTTCAGCCAGGGTAAATTCAAAGTGGAATCAGAGTCGGAGAATATCTTTAATATTGGGTGTCCACTTGGGGTGCAGGGCCATGTTGCCTTGGGCCTTCACAACTGTTTTTGCATAGTATCCTGCTGCACATTATATTAATGATAAAGGTTAGTTCCAAATCTGACCTTTTCTTGAGTTATCTATTCTGCTCTAAACGGCACTAGGGTTGGAGGCGCAGGCCTTTCTGACCACAAGTCACCTGGACAGGCCCAATGGTCCTTCCTTTCTACCTTCCAATGATGATCTGAAACTTCCAAACTTCTATGGCTTTAGGTACATTTCTACTTTAGTATTTGTGTACCTATTCATTTATGTTGCAAAGGGTATTGGAAAGTTATAGATCAAACTTATTATTAATATGAATTTGAATCACTGCATACTCTAGAGTTAATTGAACAATGCACAATAAATTAATTGAGGATGCTGATAAACCAAGAATAAATGATACACAAAGAGCAAGAATTTCAGGCATTGAAAGATTCAGATCTCAAAACAGCAGGGAGAGGCTTCTCTGCAGAAGGTGAAATCTCACCTTTCTCACACGGATAGATGTGCTAGGCATTGCTCTAGGCTGTCAGGCAGTGAAATGACAATTGTATTTCTTTCTTTCTTTTGTACCGGGGATCCAACTCACAACCTTGAGCTTGCAAGGCAGGCGCAGTGCCACTGAACTAAATCCCCATTCCGACAATTGTATTTCTTGATGGAACTCTAAGACCTGGCCCTAGGAGAACCCTCATTTTTGGTTAAGAATATATTTCCATAGCATCAACAAATCACTTAACAAACTGCCAATAATTTCAGCACCTAGCATTACATAAAAATTATAATCACCACCTATCTCGAAGAGCAAACAACAGCAACAAAAGCTTTGCACAGTGATCTTGTGTACAGCCCTCCAGAACGCTCACAAAACCCAGTGACTTTGAAGCACATCCGCAGGAAGCATTCGTAACCCGAGGAACCCTGCTTTTCATGGTGTGACTGAGTAGAGTGGTGTACTCCTTAACAACAGGGTATGCTGTGAGGGATGTGTTATTAGGCGACTTCGTTACTGTGTGAGCAGCATGAAGAGTGCTCACACAAACGTGGATGACACCGGCTGATCACATGGTGTGGCCTCTCCACGCCACCAAAAGATGTGATAAATGTGAGATGTGTGAGGCTCTTTCCAGTGTAACACAGCATTCTGCTTTACGGTAAGCTGCTTCTGAGGCAGGAGTGCACATGACAATGATGAGAAGACATGGGGTAAACATCCCAACCAATAGCACAGGCATTTAGTATCGCTATAAAATGTTGGACACCATACATAATGGCATCATTTACACAACTGGCAACTGGCAGGACAGTAGGTTTGTTTGCACCAGCGTTAACACAAACTTATGAGTAATGATTCACCTAGATTACGACGGCTACAGAGTCACCAGAAGATAGCATTGTATTATGCGCCAATATAATCTCACAGGACTACTATCAACTTCACAGTCTGTCACTGGCTGGAATGTCCTGCTACAGCAGATGCCAACGGTATTTGCTACTCCTGGAGCTCCAGCTGGCTCCATGGGGGCGGGTATTCCCTCCCTCTGTCAGCTACTGGGCTCAGGCTGGTCCCAAAGACACCTTCTTCTGTCCCTCGCACCCTCTTCCCCCAGAAGGTTCCGCCCAGGACAAAGTCCTAAGAAAACTCCTCCCTATCCTCCGGAGACGTGCTTTTCCGGAGAAGAGTGTAAATTTAAGTTTTTATGGCTGAGAGGCCCCAAAATGACATATGCAAAAGAAAAGAAGAGAAAGGACTTACGATGGCAGCATCTGGAACACGATTTCTTAGACCCCAGGGCAAGGAAAGAGGCAGGAGGCGCTGGACTAGAAAATAAAGGCTTGGTAACGTCCTGCCGCACTGCAGCGGGACAAGAGTTGGTCCTCCCTGTGCCCCAAAGAAGAGGAGAACCAGATGTGCGGGAGCTGGAGGGTCTCTCCAGAGCGCCCTTGAAACACACAGAGGAGGAAAGGTGAAGGGGACCCCAACAATAGCTCTGCTGTCCAGGGACAAGGCAGGAAGAGCATGGGGAATGACAAAGGATTGGTACAGAAGGTACGACTCTGGGCACACTAGGTAATGTCAGCTGATCAAGACTGCGCTTTGAAAACGTATACGCCTGAGTCATCACCACCCGTAAAAAGACAGGAGACAATACCAAGATGTAGAACATCGGCCTTGAAACCGACTCCAGGGTCCAAGTCCACTCCCTTCCCCGAGAGGGTGCCACTGTTCTGATATCCCACACAGTAGGTGAGTCTGGCCTCTTCCTGGAAGTAAGATGAATGCAATCATCGTGTTGTGCTCCTGTGTGTCTGACTTCAGCTCAGTAATCTTGAGATTCTCCCCTGATAGTGTGAGACCCTCTCATTTGTTCCTTATTGTTGTTGAGTACTATTCAGTCGAACGATAAAATACTGGGGAAAATCAGGTGGGTAGGACAAAATAAAATACTGATTTCTAAGTTAACCAACAATTATTGGATGTTAGTAGTTTCCCTTTTGTAGAGAAGAGAGGAAAAGGAGGGAGGGACTCATGCCTAGTCAAGTTGGATCCAGGGTGGAGAGGTCAACAAGGATTTAATGAACTCGATACTCACACTTACTTACTAATGGACGCTGTTCCGTCTGTGACAACTCCGACTTTTGAAGATGTGCGGTGAAGCTCTAGGCCCGATGGCAAGTGCTGCTTGTGGTGGGTAACAACTTAGTAGCCGCCTCGATGCACATGTTTATGAGACCAAGTAATTCTTCCCAGGTGAGTAAAAAGCAGACTAACGAGATGTTCCTGGGGGATTTGCTATAAACATTAGAAAGGAAAACACCCCACTGTGGTGACACCACCTGGAGCGGAGGCTATATAAGCACTTCAAAGAGGAAAAAGCCAACAGGCTTGGAATTCGAGCTCAACTGAGGGTTCTGGAGCTGGTGACCACAGATGTGGACGTAAACTGAGCTGGGCAACACTATGGATACCCAGGGCTGTACAGCAACTATTTCTCCCTCAACCCCACCCCAAAACTGCTCTGGGATTACAAACTTCAGAGCAGCCTCTTCTAACAACAGCTGTCATCACAGTGGCCCTGAAGCCAACAGCTGCCGACTGACCAACCACTTCCTGAGATCTCCCGAGGGCCAGGGCTGCTGCTCTACTCCCTGCCTTTGCTGCACCCCCATCGACCTGATAGGCAGCTTCAATGGCCGTCCCTGTCCGGACAGCTGTGTCTGGTACTGGGAAGGAATCAACAGTCACGAGAAAGAGGCCATGCAGGCTCTGAATGGCCGCCTTGCTAACTACCTGGAAAAGGTTCAGAAGCTGGAAGAAGAGAACGCAGCCCTGGAAGGCAGAATCCAGGAGGAGTGTACCAAAGAGCTCCCCATCCTGTGTCCCGATTACCTGTCCTACTACACCATCATTGAGGGGCTCCAACAGAAGGTAAGACTCTTAGCAATCCATTTAATCAAGTTGGGAACGGATGATCTCCAAGCAATGGTTACTTGCTAAAACTTTAAGTATTTTTAGTTCCTTCTATGCTGAAACTTTTTCTGGAAGAATAAGAAAAGCTCTAGAATGAAATTACCATCTTAGGGTACCATTCAGGCTTTTAGGTGTTTCCCTGTCCTAGAGATACGCTGTGCCATTCTGTATAACTAGATAGCTCAAGGTCAAACATGTTAACAACCAGTTGCTACCATTTCTTTAGTAAAAATAAGAAAGCCAGGCTCTGAGAAAATTAATTTCTTCTTTAATACATTTCCACACAGTTTAGTTCTTATCCATTTGCAACCATCACCTCCTTTATCTCCTTCTCTGCTTATTTTATCATCTTCACATTTTCAACTGTTTGTTTCTACACCAAACCTAAGTGTCCTATTCAGAGTAAGATGCTACTGCCACATATGTAGATTTATTCAGTTTTATGTGTTCAGCAAATATTTACTGAGCACTATCGACCATGTTCTAGACCATTATTCCAGAATGTGGGAAAATGTGGGTGAACTAGAAACGTCCCTACCTGGATGGAGTTTACATTCTACCAGATCATAGCATGTTAGGTAAATTTAGAACAGATTTTATAGTTTAACAGGAAGACATGCATACATCTTTATTTTAGTAATTTTTGCTGATCGTTTAAGAACATAGCAAGAACTCTGGCTTTCCAAAGTTTCCCAAGCTTCTTGGGCTCTGAAGACCTATGAAAAGTCTAACTGGCCTTCCCCTGCTATCTGAACCACACATGAGCCCCTTGGTTCCTAAAGGAGATCCTGGTATTTGTCTCATTTGTGTGTGCGATTTCTTAATTCTAGATCTTGTGTACCAAGGCTGAGAATTCCAGGCTGGTCTCACAAATTGACAACACCAAACTGACTGCAGATGACTTAAGAGCCAAGTAAGCCCACCCATCACTGTCGTGGATGGCAGAAGTCACCCCAAGTCTGACCTCAACACTGCCAATAAGATTACCCCCACACCTACCACCTCCGGCTCCCTAGCATGCTGGCACTAGCCCAGGAGACATCATCAGGTTCAAGGTCTGGTTAAGATTCACAGCCCTCACAGGTGTACGGCACCCAGGGTTGAAGCGTATGGACCCATTAATTACCAGTGCAAGAGTTCAGTAAAATAGGCAGGGTTCCCATGTTACCACCCAACTTACGGTGAGAAAATTGTGGTGTATGGGGAAGTTGCTTACAATTAATACAAGCCTGGGCCAAATCATAGACCGGGATTCCTGAGTCCTCACCCAAGGCTCTTCTCACACTGCATTACATCTAGAGGCAGAGGTAGAAGGATAAATTTCCTCGCTCAGAGTATAGCAATCTGGCATTCCTCTGGGTCATTTAGGCATAAGAACTACATCATGGTATTTATCAAATGGTTTCACCTCTCCAGAGAACAAAACCCTCCCTAGAAATACACTAAGTGACAGACCAGAGAAAATGTAGAAGGACATTCTGCTTGGCGGGACCCGCACCGTCTCCTTCATGATGTCTTTTGTGTCTGCCACTCACAGGTACGAAACTGAGGTGTCCGTGCTCCAGCTCGTGGAGGCTGACACCAGTGCCCTACAGCAGATCCTGGATGCACTGGCCCTGGGGAAGGCTAACTTGGAGGCTCGAGAACAGTCCCTGAAGGAGGAGCTGCTGGGCCTGAAAACCAGCCACGAGGAGGTTAGAGAAAGACCGAGAGCATCAACACAGTGACGCCTCTAAAATCAGCATCCTTTCCTTTGAATTGTGCTTGACCAAGGGCACCTGCCCTACACACTACTGTGGGTTTGGACCCTCACAATGCCTCTGGCTGCTCCCTGAACCACTGGTTTAATGCTTTTCAAAGCCACGTGTACCCAAAAGCCACCATTGTCCCAATTTTCCTGTCCTCGCAGGTTTCCCATCTTTTTTAGACATCCCTGAATACAGATTTCTGCCACTTCCTGTTGGTGCAAATCAGTGTTGGTCCAAGCCCGCATTGGCATCATAGAGACTGGGGGAGCATTATGTATTCTTCCTTCCTCTTCTGTGCTGAGCCTTCCATTACCCATCCCTAAAAATGACCTAAATTTTTTTCTGGAACTCCGATCTCATTGGCTAATTATTTATTTGGGCACATATTTAAATCCATAGTCGTAGCTGAAACAGCCTTCAGTTATCTTCGGAATCTCATATAAACCAGTATCCTTTTATTGCGGGCTGAGTTTGAGACACAATTAAGCTAAATTACTGCTGTTTGACTGGAATGAGAACACGGCATCACCTGTGCACCCAGTAACTTCACATTCTTTATCATTCCAAAGGAAGTCAGTTTGTTACAGTGCCAGTTTGGAGACAGGCTCAACATTGAAGTGACCGCTGCCCCTTCTGTGGACTTAAACCAGATTCTACAAAAACTGAGATGTCAGTATGAGTCCCTCATGGAGACAAACCGTAAGGACGTGGAACAGTGGTTCAACAGCCAGGTGGGGAGAGTAGAAAAGTCCCAAACGTTAAGCTGACACATTCCCGGGGGCTCTTTTGTCAGCCTTCCACGATTCCTGTGGCCCTTGTGTTTCAGATGGAGGAGCTGAACCAGCAGGTGGTGACGGGCAATCTCCAGCAACAATGCTGCCAGGCGGAGCTCCTCGAGCTGAGACGTACCGTGAACACTCTGGAGGTTGAACGGCAGGCCCAGCAGCAAATGGTATCAGCAGGCTGACAGAGCCCAAGATGGCAGTGGTGCTGACAGCCCTGACACATGTGTCTTGCGATGTTTCCCAAACTGTGCACCTTAGAACCACAGATCTTTTGTCTGTTACAGAGTCTATGGCTGAAAAAGGACTTCATAGTCAAATAAGTCTGGGGAGTGCTGGCTTAACCAAAAGCGAAACAGGGTGGCTTGCTGGAACCCATCAATACGCTGACCTACACCACGAATCTTCAAGAAGGGGCTAGGTGGTATTCAGCACTCCAAAACTTAGTTGACTGCGGCCCTCTTTTTTTTTTAACAGCATCTCACAGTAATCATGATCCATGGATTACACTTTGGGAAACACTAGGAGATCATTTCATTATATGCAAAGCATTTTTGTAAGATATCATAGCGGAATTATAAAACAATCTTATGAGGGAGGTTGAATGATTATCAACCAAGACTACTGATGAAGTTGCAAGAGCTAAGGTGGTTTTCCCAAGACAAATCCTAGATGAGGGTCGTCTTTCCTATGTTATAAAGGTAGAAAGACACTGAGTTACTACAGCCTTAAGTGACATGTCCAAGGCCACAAAAGAAAGAAGAATTAGAGCCAGAATTCAGACTCCAAAGCCAGTAGCACTTCCACCTCATTACACCGCTTCTCTACAGAAGGAGATTACTCAAAAGCCCTGCTGTGAAGTGTGTTAGGAAGACCTTCCCCCCAAGTTGGTATTGTCACCAGACACTCGTGTGACCTTGGACAACTCATTTAACCTTTTGGACCTCAGCTTTCTCATCTGTGAGAATTGGGATGATCGTGCAAACACTGGGTTATGGTAACCTAAAATCTCATTGTTAGCCATAGATTTACAGAGTGATAGAACAGGAAAGAATGCTACTCATCAAAGTTTCAACTCTAATGATTTGCATATAAAGAAATTGACCTAGTGAAGGAATTGTTTATGGGTAAACATTGCCCACTTCTGTTTAAAGGTACAAACACTGATTGAACAGGTGACATGTTTTAATGCCTGGTTGTATACAAGCTCAAAGCATTCTTTCTCTCATAAGTAGGGTAATGTGGTGAGAGATTATCAGATGGTCAGAAAGAACAGAGAGGGAAAACACGGTAAAGAAAAGCAAGCTTTAGCATAATTGATGATTTTGCTCTTGGATTTATTTGGGTGGATGCAGTAAAAGGGTTTGGAGATCCATTAGCATTGTCACAAAGAAACCATTGTTCAAAATGACTTCAACAATAACTTGGACTTAATGGAGTCATCATTCATAACCTGACTTTCCTCCTGCATGGTAGAGAGATTCCCAAGAACGCATCCTGGGGGAGACGGAGGCCCGCTACACAGCCCTGCTGTCCCAGATCCAGAGTCTGATCCACACCCTGGAGGCACAGCTGGCGGAGATCCGCAGCGCCCTGGAAAGACAGAACCAGGAATACGAGATTCTGCTGGACACCAAGTCCCAGCTGGAGTGTGAGATCGCCACCTACCGCAGCCTCCTGGAGAGCTCAGATGGCAAGTATGTAAACAAACAGAGCCCTGCACAGGAAAGGCCACTGGCCTGGGGGACGGCGCTCTGCTTAGCTGGCCCCTGATGGGAGCCGGGAGGGAGCGTGCACCTGCCCTCCCAAGCTGCCCGCTGGGAGCCCTGACCCATAGTTCCTCTGAACTTGGGGTGTAGGCTGAGTGGTGGCTCTGTAGAGCTGCACACCACGTCGAGTCTTTGTGGTTGTCTAGTTTCCTAGAGTTTTACACATTACTAGAGAAACAAAAAGCATTTCCCCAACAATGGACACTCCTGGTCACGTACAGCTTTCCCCTGTATGGAGAGGAGCACCTTACTTGCCCAGATGAAGAGGACGACACAGGCCCCTCTGGAGGGACACTGTGCTCGGGCTCAAGTCCCCGGTCCTGCCTGGCCACTGATCCTCGATGCCGATAACAGCATGTACACATGCGTGTTTTGTATCTTTTTTAAATGAAAGTTGAATTTTTAAAATGATAATAAGCTAACCAACCTGAGATGGGCTCACCTCATCCAAACTGATCCAACAAACGCAGAGTTACCTTTGCAGTTACAAAGCACACCTGTCTGGCCACGTTAATCAGAGACCTCTGTCCCCAGCCTTCTCTTCACTGGCCTGTCCACACGAGGGAGCACAATGGATGCTAAAGAGTTCCGGTATTCCAGAGCGTTCTGGTTATCAAAGAAAGATCAGATTTTTTCTTTGTATTGTTATTTATTTTTATTGGCACATGTTTGCATATACATAATGTTTACATCCCTTGTATGGAGTTAGTATGTGTACATAACTCATCTTAATGCCTTTTCTCATCCTCTTTCCTTTCTCTCCCTCGCCTCTCCAGCTCTCTCTTTTCTTTCTTTTCTTTTCCCCCTGTACCAGGGATCGAACTCAGGACCTTGCGCTTGCGAGGCAGGCGTGGTGCCACTGAGCTACATCCCCAGCCACTCCTCCATCTTTCAATCTCTTTCCCATCTGAGAAAAAATTCTATCTCCCTGCTTCCTATTATCTAGCTTTTCTTTTGCTCTTTATAGTTTAGCTTCTCATGTAAGAGAAACCATGAGATATTTAAGCTTGTGTGCCTGATGTATTTCACTTCATATTATGGTCTCAGGATGCATCCAATTTTCTACAAACAGCTCAAGTTTATCTTTCTTTATGGGATCTCTCCATTTCTTTCAGGGGAGTATGGCCACACTCCATTGTGTGTAAACACCACATTTTCTTCATCTGTCGATAGACATATAGACTGCCTCCAAGATTTAGCTATTGTGAACTGTGCTGCTGTAGATATGGGGAGGCATGGATCACTTTACCGTGATGTCTTTAACTTTTAGGGGAAGATACTTAAGGGGAAATAGGTGGATCCAATGGAATTTGTAGTTTTGGTTTTCTGAGGAATCACCATACTGATTCCCAGAGGCCACGCTAGTTTACTTTCCCAGCCACAGTGCAGAATGGTACTTTGAAGGGGCGTATGCTACTGACTGCATACTACTCCAGCTAGCCAAAGACTGTTCCTGCACAGGCACCAGAGTGCTGTCTTTGAAGCTGCTGAAGACTCCTCCATAGATGGGTTTCAGATCACCCACAGTGTGACCAATTCCCCATAAGAAAAATTATCTGATTAATTTTCACACTCGGATGGGGAGCCCCTTGGCTTGGCCCTCATCCCTGTTGATCCCGAGTGTGGCTCCTGCAGTGTCCACTCTGCAGATGAAAAGTCAAAGCCCAGGGCCAGCGGGGCCCCACCCCAGGCTTCCTGGGGCAGAGTTCTCCCCACGGTGCTCTGGCATTTGCTGAACTGACAATGTGATTAACGTAACACTTGTCAATTTAGAGTACTGTTTCCCAGTGAGCCGGCCTGATTCCTGCTCTTCTGCTAATGAATGAATAGCCTGTGAGCTACACACTCGGAAGGACAAATGTGACAACTTTGCCAGCCCCATCTTCCTTCGTTGCCATTGTTATTACTCCCCCTCAGTCCAAGTAAAATTCTATCTTTTCCTTAGGCTGCCTTGTGAGCCGTGCACCACCAAATCTGAGCCTTCCATGTGGGCAACCTGCAAGGCCAGAGCCCGGGAATGCCCTGCCCTCGTGTATACATCCCCGGCCCTCACTGGGACACGCAAGACCTGTGGACCCCTGCCCCGGATCCTGGTTAAAATATGCACCATCACCATGGAGGTCAAGGACGGGAAGGTCATTTCGTCTTACGAGCATGTGCAGCCCTGCTACATCACCCGGCCCCAGTCTGACACCCCAAGGTGATGGACATGACCCACATTCATGAAAGAGAGGCCAGTGCATGCTCCTGCCAGGAAGGGTTAAGCCCCGGGCCCGTCAGGTACCTAGCTTCTTACTACTACAGTGGGTCCCCATCGCTAGACAGAATTCCCTTTATCGGCTCCTCCCCTAAGTCACTGCTGCCAGCATGCTAAGGAATTGCACTTCTTTGGAAGGACACCCTGCCTTTATCTGAGGACGGGCACTGATCGGTGAGTGGCCTACATTGCTCGGCTCCCCCGGTGACAGACAGGTGACAGCCCTTGTTTACTTGTGCACCTCCTTGCAGCCAGTCAGACAAGTTCCAGGGTTGTTTGGGGCCATCGGCACCTAAAGGCAAAAAGCTACGTGTTTCCCTTCGCGCCTCCTGCTTTGAATACAAAATGCAGCCTCCACAGGCACAGGACGAATAAGGGGAAAGAGCCACAGTGTCTGGTTTCCTTGAACAGACAGCCATGAATCCGGATCCTGCTCAACCCTGCCGTCTCCATTAGGGTTTCTCTACACCAACATACTCTCCTTTCCCCGAGATATTTCTGAAAATGTCCATTGGTCTCTAAAACTCTGTGAATCTCCAAATAGTCTCTATGAAAATCGGGAATAGATTTGGGGAATGAATCTAGCTATTTCTTTAAAAAAAAAATCTTTGAAGAAACTAGGTCCTTTCATTAAATGTTTCCTATTCCTCTTTCTGTTCTTTAGGGAATGGGAGTTTGATCTGATATTTGACAAGGGACATTAGTTGGAATTCTCAAGACAAAACCCCTGATGGCTGACAATGAAAAAATAGCTTAGCTTCCCGCTTCAATCTATCCATCAGAGAAATGGACTTAGTATCAACAAACTGCAGAAAAGCAATGATGAATATTTGCTGGAAGCAAGCACAAGGCAGCCCCAGTGGGAGACGGGGCCATATAAGCACCAGCCAGTGCCACGGCTGCTTCCAGTAGCACCAGAGACTGTAAAAGTCATTCCTATGAAAACTATTGGCCATCTCTGGATGTTGTAGTAGATAATTCCAAACCCAACACAGGATGTGGGGTCCAAAGACCTGAAACACGAAACCTGTCACTTCCCAACCGTGATTCCGCACAAAACTTCTAGTCACCAGCAAATTGATTTCCCTATCTGTGGAACGAGGATCACACCTACCTCACGGGGCGCCTGTGAGAGCCACGTGAAACTGTGCATGTCACACTGCTTTGTATACTGCAAGGTGCTACACAGTGTGAGCGTTATATAATCTTCACCTTTAGCTACAGCCCAAGATCTAATTTTGTCACTGTGACCTCGTTTTAAAATGCTTTCTCCATAAACGCTTTCTCGAGTCATCATTTGGGAGTCTAAAGTGTTTAGCTTTGTGGCGGGACAAGCTCTCCTGGCATCGCCCCCTCAGGTCTAGTCAGTGAAGCGTTTCTGGATTCTTGGGGTGTGGATCAGATACCAGTCGACGCCTGATGCCCACAGCAGAGACTCTCGTTGATGACCTCACAGTTCAGCGATGTAGATGTTTTTCCTCCAGACAAGTGGTGATGATGCTAAGCCAGTGGAGTACAGAACTCCCAGGGTGATCTCTTTTCTCTCAACTAAATGGACAGAATACTTCCGGTCAGCATGTAACTGAACACATTCTCAGGGCGCAGGATGGAAATACGCAAAGAGCACAGAACTCGAACTCAGAAACCTTGGGCTGGAGTCACAGCACAACTGTGAAGTAAAAGGGAGTTCGTAATGCAGCCCCTGCCTAACCTGTGCCAGAAACATTAAACAAGATAGTAACAAACTCTGGGCCTCAGAAAGTCTAAGGTGCCATGCAGAAAAAATTCCCTAATGTTTTTTCAGTACTAGGGATCGAATCTGAGGACTTTGTACTGAGTTACATCCCCAGTCCTTTCTTATTTTTCATGTTTATTTTGAGATAAGGTCTTCTTGCCCAGTCCGAGCTTAAACTTGCTATCCTCCTGTCTCAGCCTCCCAGAGTGTTAGGAGTTCAGGTGTGTAGCATCATCACACCTGGTTTTAGTCTCTAAATTAAAAGCCAAACATTTGTCATGTCCACACATACTTTTTTCCTTTCTGTGTGATTCAGTTCTGGGCCAGAAGGGTCACCGATATATGCCATCAACATTAACCAGAAAACCAATTAGCAAGGGGGCAGACCAGCTCAGCCTGCTCTGAGCTTCTGCTTCCAACTAGATTTAGAGTTGAAGGACATCAGCAGACGCAGCCTAACCTCAGGCTGATGCCCAGTGCACTCTGAGTTCATCTCAGAAACAAGACATCTTCCTCCCAGCAGTGCACAGAATCCCCATCCCTGCTATGCTGAAAATCAGTTACGATGAACTGCACAGTAGAGAGGGAATTTCCCCATGCAACAGTTTATAGGGTTTGTTTTCCAAAATGGTCTTTGTATAAGAGAATATAAAGCCACCTGCAGGACCTTGTGTACATGCGGTCAAGCCCTTTACAGGCATTGTGGAGTCCGGATTTCACTAGGAAACTAAGGGTCCTCTCCGGCCACAGGAGGGAGTGAGAGCTCCCTTTGTAGCTCAGTACATGGGTTGGCCGCTGGAGTAGCAGGTCTCTCGGGAGGAGCAGAGAGGATTCCACACAAGTCTAATTTCAGCACAGCTCAAAGACAACCGGGAATCCAGCCACACAGCAGTCTCTGGGGCCCACAGACATACTTTTTGTAGATTTGTCTGTCTTCATTTTGACTCTCCCTAATACTGTGTCATCACAGGCTTAAACTCTCCCTGATATGGGGGTAGCCATGCTTCTTTCTCCCCCGTAGCTGCCCGTACCCAGCTCCCCCTGCATACGACACACAGCCTCTGCACCCTTATTGCTCAGGGAACATTCTAGTATTGCTGCCTTTACTTTTCCCCAAGAGCTCAGCGAGTGCCAACCTGTGAGGTGACTTCCCTCCAGGATGTGCGCCTCTAGGGCCACCTGGCCACCACCTGCAACCACGCTCCCGGCAGAGCTCGTACAGTGTAGAGTCTTGGTCCGAACCCCAGACCTCCTGCAGTAGCTTCTCTAGATGCAGGATCCTGGAGTCCAGATTTTAACTAAACTTCCAGCTTTGATGTATGTGCTGAAGTCAAAACCACTGTTGTAGTTGATAAATAATTTTTTTAAAGATCTGGCTAACTCAATGTCTTTTTTTTTTCATATTTTTTTTAATGAACACAAGTTAACAGTTCACGTGAAAGGGACTCCCTGTGATATTTACATACATGTAGACAGTGTACACTGATGGAATTCATCCACCCTTCTTTATGTGCTTCTCTCTAAGATTCCACTATTGGCCTTGCCAGTTACCACATTTGCAGATAGCTCCTCCTCTGCATGTCTGTCCACCTGCTTATAGAACGGGGTTCAGCGTTAACAATGAATAATTGAATATGTGTTCTTAACTCCTTTGATTCTGGCCACACCACCACGCAGGAGCTGGTCTGAGCAGTCCTGTGGGACAGGTGAGGGAAAAGCCAGACAGAGAAGCTGAACAACTCACCCCCCCACACACACAGGGAAACTGAATTCTAAGTGCTTTGCTTTCCTCAGCACCAGATGTATAATCAATCTCCAAAACAGAAATAACCCACAACAGCCGTGCTTGTTTTCCACCTGTTCACAGTGCCCTCTGCGTGCCTGTCACCGCCGCTGTCAGAAGTGCGAGAGGAGTCTTTGTGCCCGCGACCATGGGTCACTTTCTCATGAACCTCACTCGTGCATAGGCTGAGCAGGTTTAGAATTAGAGACATTCTGCGGATAGCTAAGAGTTCATATCAATGACCAAGAGGCTGGAACCCAGAGAGGAAGGTAACCAGCTCATGCATCAGGTCAGTGAGAAAACCCTGCACTCTTCCCTCTGGCTCCCACCCATCTGGAGGGACAGCAGTAGGATGGTGTCTAACAGAGCCAACACTGAACCAAACCTTGGGTTCCAGCGCTCAGGAGCATCCTTTAGCTCCTTTCTTCCTGTGCTCTGGATGCTCAGCACACGCTCTTCAGAGCCAATACCTTTAGATTATCTGACAACTGCTGATGTAACTTGACTCACATTATTGTGTCTGGTCCCCAACATCTGTAAAAAGGAAATGACGCCAGAAACCACATCCTCCAACCCCAACCCACCTTGTAAAGCCAATAAAATGTTGTCAGTGTGTTCTTCATGTCACCTACAAGCTAACTGCTGAGTGCTGCTATTATTCACTCTCATAACTTCCATTTATCAAGCAAGGGGGAAATGTGTCTAACCCTAGGCAGAATTGAACCCACGGTCTGGGTAAGCTTATCCTAATTCTGTCCTTCTTGATTTAAAATTAAAGTTGTGGTCATTAAAGTTATTTTTAAATCAAATATGCTGTCTCAATAGAAAGGAAGGAGAAAGAGATTGAAATTCCAATCAGCACAGCAACCCAGGGAGCCACAGGTTAGAACCCGCGCCTGCAGGCCTGAGATGCGCTTCTTGTTTTGACAGCGGCATCAAATGTCTTTTATAGGAAATGAATCCTTTGGCGATTTGGCCGGCAGGAAATATCTGGTCAATGTGCTCAGGCATGATTCACAGCTTTGTAGGAACAACCCACGCACCCAGTTCGAATGGGAATGGCCCTATTTGGCCACACTGGGAAGGTTTATTTCAACTGGGATCATCCATGCAGGTTGAGTGCCACACCTGGAAAGCTTTCTTAGGCAACGCTGTCAGCCATAGGCCATCGCTTTGGGGCACATGAGAAGCACGTGAAATGTCCATGCTTCTCGACATCTCGTGAGAGGCATCGCAGGAGCAAAAGTCACCAACATGCTTTCTTTATCTTGCTTTCTCTCACTCTTCCTCGCTCCCTTGTTCCTCTCTCCCTCCCTCCTTCTCCTGTTTCTCCTCTCTGTGTCTGAAATAACAGAACAATCAACTGGACATGCTGGTGTTATGGGACAAACAGCTCAGGCAAGCAGCTCGCTTAATATTTTCTAGGGTGTCCCA